AAGGTGTAGTGAATAATAGCCCATGGACTAGTCTCTTTCAGGAAGACATGAGTGTCTTTGGTGAAGAGAATTAGTTTACTATTACCTAGTTATTAGGGATTTAGATATTAGCAAGTGTTGGTCAAGTAAAAGTGAATTTAAGACTAGACAATTTCTTAATCAAGATTTTTCGTAGAGCCTGCATTTGAACTTCTGATTTGTGTTTGGTTATTTAAATGATAGTTTCTTTTTTGTTTCGCATTTAGCAGCAGATAACTCTTGAAAAAGAGCTGGATAAAGGTTTTGTGATGCAGAAATCTAGAACATATTCCAATAGAAGACTCCAGTTTTTAGTGCTTTATTTGTGATTTTAAAATTATTTTGAAAGTTGGGAGAGCTGTGAAAACTTTTACTGAAAATGAGCAACGATTTGCCGTTGGGAACGTCTAAAAAAATAATAATTTATTATTAATCAAAGCAGTCTTTCTAACTGATTCTTTAAAAACTACTGTTACTTTTCATGCTTACATGAGTTAGCATAGTAGAACTGTAAAGCTTTTCCTCTGCCTCTCCCTCTCCCTGTCCTCTCCTCTGGTAAAAAAAGTTTATTTTGTGGTTATTGAGTTCTAGGTAAGCAATACCTGCTTATCTGGTAAACTAAGAAAAACGGTGTGCTGATGGAAAATAATTCAATCTAATGTCATCTGCTCCAACATTAACATACTTAAAAAAAAATTAAAACTAAGAACTAAATCTTCAAATGGTGGTGTTGTACCTGTGGCAGTGTAAGATATATAGGCCAAACTGATATAATCAGAATGATGTGACCTAAAGAACAAGTTATTTTTTCAGCTATCTAATAAAAAGTATTATTTCTACCAAGTGTGTCATATTTACTATACAGGAAAATTCTTGATCTAAAGGTAGACTGCATTCTTTAAATCTTAAAAAAATTTAAAGGAGATGTTTTTTGCCTTCACAGCAATGCCGGTTTAGAGTAAGGTGGTGATTTCTACCTGACATCTTGGTTGTGGGGTTTCTTTGAGCTGAACATCTTGCAGGTGTTCTTTAGAACATAAGCTGGCTTTCTGGGGCATATCCATTCTAGGTGCCATATGAACTGTAAACTGGAAAAGAATTTCTAGATTTCATATTTTTACCAAATAACTTCTTTAAATTATGAGCTTATTATCTGTGAATGTAGATAAGAGCTGATCGTAGACTTCTGGCTTAAGTTTCAAATTGATTAAATATGTAGTTTTGTTTGGAATGCTCTTTGTCTGCACACCACGTATGTTCTCATCTGGATAAGAAAGAGATTAATCTACAACTGTAGCTGGCGCTATTGCAGTGGAGCTAGTTTTCAGCTATTTTTGTGAAAATTAAGGTTTTTTTCAGCTCTGAAGCCTGTGTTGCAGTAAAGCAGGGTTGTTGCCTCCTGAGGAGTTCATTCCTGTTCTTCAGGAGCACGGTGTTTTCTGCAATTCCCACTAGAGGCTGCTCAAATGCCAGTGCTAGGAATCAATTGCTCTCTAGAACTCACTTCATCCTTTTTATTTTCCTTTTCTTTGTTGTTGTCTCTTAATATTATTTCAATAGCAAATACAGCAAAGCAGATAGGGTGGGGTATGTGAAAAAACAGGGGTTGATAGGTACCTTACTAAATTATCTTCAGTCCTGCCGTGTTTGTTAATTTTGCAAATTAATAAGCAAGCAATCATTCTGAAAAGCAAGTTAGCATAATACAGACATTTGGATTTTAATGCTCTCAGAAAAGTCCTTAAGCAAAAAGGGGCTACCAATCATAATTGCAATAAATGATATTACCCTTTGAATACATCTGAATTACATCTGAATTTTGTGAGAGAAAGTTGAGTATATGGTAAACAACGAATTTCCTCATCACTGATGAGGAAATATGAGTTCATATATAGAACTGAAAACATTTTTTTTCTTCGGACTTTTTCCTTCATCAATTGTCAACTGCCTTTTTTTTTCTTTTTTTTT